ATAGGTGTTGTTAGTCAGGTGAAACCTGTTATAGCTTGTAAGGCGTCTCCCCGAAGTTGGGCTTTCAAATAGTTAAAACATTGTACGTCATTGAGAGAGGAGTTGCTGTGTACGGCACTGTCGAATGAGTTCCAAAAGGACTGCCATTGAAGGGGGTTTCCAGAGAATACTGGAAGACTCAGTTTTGGGAGTCGACAAGTATTTTGTGACAGATGACTAGTGACTGTTAGTTGTGGGCTAGAGGGAACTACGTGGATAGGTGAGGGATTACTTGGACTTTGGGGAGTAAATGGTGATGCATTTGGATTAACTGTTGTTGATGGGACATGTGAGAATTATCTTGCTAGTGTTCTTGCGCGTTTTCTTGTGATGCGACTTGTTGAGGGTGTTCATACATAGATATTATTGCGAGGGTTCTTGTGTTGTGTTTTCTTGCAGGGTTTCTTGCGTTGTGTTTTGTTGCGGGTTTAAACTTGCTGTGGAGAGGTGACTTAATTCCTGGGTATGACTTGATAAAGAAGATATTTCAATGTACTTACGTATTTGGCTGATGTTCTCTTCTAACTCGTAATTTAACTCGTCGGATTCAAATATTTCAGCTTCAAGTTCCTCAGGATCTTTTATTTCTGCGGCAATCTTCGCGTGTAGTTCCTCTATAATGTCCTTTTTCTTCGTTAGTTGTTCGAGTGCTGTATTCAAACTCGCTAGCGCCATATTTCTGTCTGTATGCGTCTCAGTGTTTAGAACTTCGTTTGCCTTCTAGGCCGTATTCTGTGACCCCAAAAGTCGCTTAGAAAACAAGTTTCGTTGCCTCCATTCGGGGTCTACTTTTAGTTTACATAAATCTATAGATTTTGATACGCTGAGTACGAATTCAGTTGTTGTAACTCGCACAGACCCGCAGTTTTTTTGTATTTTACGATCAAACATCAACATTTTTTATTAAAATTTCCGCCATTTTGTTCAGGAAACTTCATGTTATATACAGTTATTGTACTAGTTTAAGTCTCTTAGCAGGGGGGGGGGGGTTACACGCGGTATTACGCAGTTTGTTATCATTCTTCTGAGAAAAATATACAGAAATGAAATAAAAAGATGGATATTTCTTCACAATATAAATGCAAAAGGTACTGGTACATGTTTGTAAATAATTACGAATTAATCTATTATTCTTTATTGCATCAACTTTTGTTTTTTTGGCTCATCATGATGTGAAATTGCAAAGACTGTCACTATATCCATAGAGACTCACTTTTTTTATTTAATAAATTTGCCCAAATATATCATAACTATTTACAATAATAATTACTAATACTATATTACTGAGAGCTAGAGGTCATTGGAAACCTGCATAGGCTTTTAATCATTAACCCTTGTTTTATCTACTTAGTTATAGATCGATGAATAGCATTAAGAAAGTTTGTTAGCCAGCTTTTTATAATAAGGACAGGATGAGTTCTTGATTAACAAGCTTTTTTAAAAAATAAACTAAATATAACATATTTGATGTCAGATGATATAGATTTAAAGAAATCTGTATTGAAAACATACAATAATTAAGATTTAAAGTTTGTATAATATATAATGACCACGCATTGTAAGCAGTAAAGAATAAGGCTATATTTACAATTACGACAATTTTTAGTTAGAGTGTAGTAGGTACTTTTTAGTTTTCTTCATAAGATTTAATGTTTTTATGAGTAGAGTCCAGATTGTTCCAGATATTAACTCCTTTGTCGGAAAGGGTATGCTTTGCATAATTTGTTCTTTTATATGATTTGTGTAGTTGAGATGAAGTTCTTGTATTATAATGGTGAATTTCATCAATTTCATCAATTTCATTGGTAAAGTTGCTTATTTTATTTATTACTGAAATTATGTACATAATTTTGGCCTTACAATTTGAAAAGGCAATTTTCCTGGATAGTGTCTAGCTGAAATTTTTGTCACCAATTTTAAAATTTTGAAGGTTTTATCCCTTAGAGAGATTTCAAAATAAATTTTATCTTTGAAATCTTCTAATGGGGTGATTATATGGAGGTGAGCCAGCCCATGCACCCGAGCTAGCTCTCTTTGCTGAGCTGATTTTATCCCATGTTTACATTAGACTCTTGAGGTGGGCTGTCTTGCCAAAACGAATCACTGGTCTTACCGCTATAAATAGTAAAATGCTAAATATATTTTTACTTTACAAGATCTCACCTAGGCAGGCCAGCTCAGTTCCCATTTAAACACAAGATAAATGTTAGTATAAATTACATAGCAATGTTAGATCTCGGCAAAGCAAGCTAGCTCGGGTATCTGGTCTGGCTGCCCTCCATATATACCCCCTAAGGAAATAAAGAAATGTTATTTATATCAATATATAGATTGATATGAATTATGTATTAATTATTTAATGCCCAGCTGTTATCCAAGATCTAAGGCTTGGAAAAGAGTCTTGGCCAGCCCAAGAGGAAAGAAGGTTTGTATAACTAAGGCATATATTGGTAGGTAGGATGCCAGATTACTTTAAATTTCTATTGTCTGCCTGGTCAAATATAAAATATCCCAGAATCTCCAGTAGTTCAGTTGGTAATTAATGGCAGCTCAAATAGGATTAGAGCTTAAGGTGATGATGGATCATGAGAACATGTTGTATTTAATATTTTTTTACACATTTATTAAACCTCGAATGGCTCGATCAATTAATGTTTCTAGCTGGCATGACTTTGAGATTTGCTTGTGTGAATATAATGCTGCTTTGTTCCAGCAAGCCCATGCTTGCCTCAACAGTCTCATACAATAAATTGAAAAACCAAGTTAGGCCGGTTGTTATATTGTAGCTGTAATAATTGGGGCTATGTCCTGTGCAGCCACCATTTGCTAATGTATGAAATATAGCTAATCTAGGTTGCGTTAACTCCATATAAACAGACAAAAAGTAGGCTGTCTGTCAGAGAGTAAAAGCCATCTTCCAAAAGTTTTTATTTATAAACCTCAATGTCCCATAATAGGAAAAATGTTATTATAATACAAGAAAATGGAACTAATTATTTGCAGATTTATTAAATAGATGAGTTAATTTTATTGAGGTCAACTGCTATTAATAATTTGTTGGGCAATGGTCTACAAATAGGTCTAACATTTATTGAACAATATATTGTGCTCCTTATTCATTGTTGACTAAAATTTCAAAGAAAAATTGCCTATTCTGGCTATTAACATTGCAAAGCCAAAATTATGTACATAATTTCAGTAATAAATAAAATAAACAACTTTACCAATGACAAGTGAGACTAGCTGTGAGAGTCTTTGTGGATATAGTGACAGTCTTTCCAATTTCACATCATGATTAGCCAAAAAAAACAAAAGTTGATGCAATAAAGAATAATAGATTAATTCCTAATTATTTACAAACATGTACCAGTACCTTTTGCATTTATATTGTGAAAAAATATCTATATTTTTATTTAATTTCTGTACATAGAATAAGTTCTGTATATCTTTCTCAGAAGAATGATAACAAACTGCGTAATACCGCGTGCAACCCCCTGCTAAGAGACTAGGACTAGTACAATAACTGTATATAGCATGAAGTTTCCTGAACAAAATGGCGGAAATTTTAATAAAAAATGTTGATGTTTGATCGTAAAATACAAAAAATTGCGAGTTTGTGCGAGTTACAACAACTGAATTCGTACTCAGCGTATCAAAATCTATAGATTCATGTAAACTAAAAGTAGACCCCCAATGGGGGCAGCGGAACTAAACGATAAGCGACCACAGAATACGGCCTATTCTTTAAAACCATTGTTACGTGTGCTTTGTGTCCCCTTCGTGAGGCCTGTAGTCGAGCGATTTCTTCCATGTTCGAATTTAGCTGGTCACGGTACCAAATAATGTCGAGAAAGACAACCTTTAGTAAAACATTTATTGTAAACCGCTCGATAAACATACATTTGTGAAAAACTAACTTCAACAACGTGCCTAAAACGTTCATACGAGTCCACTGTCCGACCGCTGGCACTACTGACGAATACTTAATGTAATGAACAATATACTAATATACTCTAAGTGTTCCTAATTCACGACAAGACTCACGCGCGATGTTTTTAGAAGCTGAGAGACTCACGCGCGATGTTTTCAGAAACTGAGAGACTCACGCGCGATGTTTTCAGAAGCTGAGAGACTCACGCGCGATGTTTTCCCAAGCTGAGAGACTCACGCGCGATGTTTTCCCAAGCTGAGAGACTCACGCGCGATGTTTTCCCAAGCTGAGAGACTCGCGCGCGATGTTTTCACAAGCTGAGAGACTCGCGCGGGATGTTTTCACAAGCTGAGAGACTCACGCGCGATGTTTTCACAAGCTGAGAGACTCGCGCGCGATGTTTTCCCAAGCTGAGAGACTCGCGCGCGATGTTTTCAGCGTGCTGATGTCTTGTGTTGAATATTAGGCCCTATGACAGCACGAAATCCAAATGTCAAAAATCGTATTTAGCTACTCAATATTTTCGTCCTTCAAGAACTAAAATTGTCAATGCACTCTCGTCCTACCAAAATAATAATTACTCCTACCTTGAATAATTCAATTCAAAATTAAATGCGATATATATACGAAAATGGATTGTATTCGTGACATCACGAAATCCAAATTGGTCTTGTCTGCTGGTGTCAAACCCGACGTTTGTCGCTTCAATTCGTCACAATAATGAATGATCAGTTCTTTTCCTCGTTTGCAGAAAATTTTTCCTTCCTTCTTTCATAACTACGTTAAAAACTTGCGGCTGTTTTAATATTTATTCTTTATATTTTAAAAATTGTTTCCTTTGACCCTCTAGCTAATAGTCGAACTGCAATGTAAAATTATAAAGTCAGTGTAAGGGAAAAGAGAAAACACTCTGCATCGATTATTACACAAAAGGAATACCGAATGGTTTTCCGTGCAGGATTGCGTGATCAATGCACGCGGGATGTTGCGAGACTTTCGGAAAGCGTGAAAATACACGAGCTGTAAGCGAGTTAGTCTCCCTCGCAGACGTTCTTATAGCTCTAACCCTCGCTAACTAACGATATATTGTTAGTTAGCGAGGGTTAGAGCTATAAGAACGTCTGCGAGGGAGACTATAGGCGAGTGTATTTTTACGCTTTCCGAAAGTCGAGCAACATCCCAAGTGTACGGAAGCCCAGAAGTGTAATTGCTATTACCTATTTCCGTGTTGAAAAAGTGGGTTGCAATGCAAAAGCTACTTTTTTCGCTATTTCCTATTACCGTGTTTCCTATTACCTATTACCGTGTTTCCTATTGCTGTGTTCCCTGGCGGGCTAGTTCCTATTACCTATTACCGTGTTTCCTATTGCTGTGTTCCCTATTTCCTATTACCTATTACCGTGTTTCCTATTGCTGTGTTTCCTATTACCTATTACCTATTACCGTGTTTCCTATTGCTGTGTTTCCTATTACCTATTAACGTGTTTCCTATTGCTGTGTTCCTGGCGGGCCATGCATTACCTCGATTACGTATTACCGTGTTTCCTATTGCTGTGTTCCCTGGCGGGCTATTACCTATTACCGTGTTTCCTATAGCTGTGTTTCCTATTTCCGGTATAAATTTAAGAATTTATCTATAAATATTATAGCATGTCGATGACTCGATATATCAAAGTCTCTTAGTCGAAGCGGTATAATCTGCAGACGGCAGACCAAGTACAAAATGCAGAATAGGTATAAATTGCAGACTGAAATTGCAGACTTGGTATAAAATGCAGACTGTGAAAAAACATATATTTTAATATATGTCATGCTGTCATGAAGTTCAAATTATTATTAATGCATAAGCTTTGTATGCTTTAAGGCTTTATATAAAAAGGTTTAGAATGATTTTCAAGATATTTTAGTGAAAATTATTGCAAAATTTAAGCACAACATGTCAACAAAATCATAATATTACTGCTATAGTCAGGCGTAAGCGGGTTTACTGCAATACACATTTGTCATTTAAATTCCAGGATAAATATGTTTTTTCCCAAACTTAAATGTCATTCACTACACAAATTTATTTTTGTGATGGTTTTTGTTTCTTTTAGTTTGTGTATCTAACTCATTTTAGTTCAATATTCTTCTTTTACTCTTTAGGTATGAAATGCGGTTTAAAATGTCTTATTATTGATTATTGATTGATGTTTATTAAAACTCTCTTGCAGTTATACAACTGAATTAACGAGCTTACTAGTAAAATTTACATAATATTTCTAGGTAATGTTCATATTAAGATGTTCAAATTTAGACTATTATTATTTATTCCTACTATTTACAGCATATTTCTAATTATTCAATTAAACAGTATTAATGGAAAAATTTTAAAGTAAAAAAGGATTGTGCTCTGTTCATTTTACAGACCGTATTATTTTTAAATAGGTAAAATTGTTCTGAAGTCCTTCTCAGATTACGCTGATTCAGCTCAAAGACGACCGGTTTTGGAAGTAGATTATGTAGGGGATGGTCTTTAGATTTCATTTTGTCCATATATTTCTCACACAATAGATCTCTTCTACTCTTGAGTGTAGGAATGTCGGCTAGATTTAGTGCGTCTGTGTACGAATCACACTCAGGATAGATAATTTTAAGTGATCTCTTTTGCACGACTTCAATTGCCTCCGACAAATAGTCCGGGATGGCTTGCCATACCGGTACGGCGTATTCCAGCAGTGGTCGTACTGTAGTTAAATAATTTTTTAAGATATTATCATTTTCGACTCCAGCTCTACGCAGTACCCTTAGCGAATATAGTTTCTTACTGGCCTTCTTGATAATGTGGTCGACATGACAGTTCCACTTTAGATCACTACTCATGATCACACCTAGGATCTTATAAGTCTTCCCTTACCAAACTGACATATATGTAAAATGTCTGCAAGTATCTGTCACATATCTGTTGCAGTACTGCAGCATAACTGCAACAAGGTCTACAATATCTGCAAAATATCTGCATAAAAGTTGCAGATATTTTGCAGATATGTTGAGTATCTGTCAACATATCTGCAAAATATCTGCATAAAAGTTGCAGATATTTGCAGATGTGTCCATTGTCTGTCAAAATATCTGCAAACTATCTGCATAAAAGTTGCAGATATTTGCAGATAAGGTAATTGTCTGTCAAAATATCTGCAAACTATCTGCATAAAAGTTGCAGATATTTGCAGATATGTCAGTTGTCTGTCAAAATATCTGCAAAATATCTGCATAAAAATTGCAGATATATATAGATATGCCAATTGTCTGTCAATATACAGTATCTCGACTACACAGCAAAAAAATAATTTCTTATTGAGAAACAATTCTTACTTCAAGAATATATTTGTTGAAATGAGAAACTAATTTTCTTAATTAGAAAAATGATTCTTAAAATTAGAAGTATTTGATTTGCAAGACATTTTTTGAAATAAGAAAAATTCTCTTAACATACATTTGTTTTCTTGAAATATGAATGTTTTCTTACGATTTCATCATCTTCATATCAAATCATTTTCTTAAGATAATTTTTAAAACAAGAAATCAAATTGTTAACATAAGAAATAATGGTTAATAACAAATTATTTCTTACTTAAATTTTCTCGAAGAATGAATATAAATTTGTTAAAATTTAAATATAACATCTTTTGCAATTTTTGCATTTTTTTCCCAAAATGATATATTTTTCCTCAATATTCTTTTAACAAGATGTTACACCTAGTGACATTGCAACGATGTTTAATGAGTACTTTCAATCTGTCTACACCTGCTTTAAGGATCTATCACCTTCGTTTCAACCAGATTCATCTTCCCCATTATCGAGCATTTCATCAATTGACCTATCGGTAGAAGAAGTTTTCCAAGCCTTGCAGAACTTAGATCCGTCAAAGGCTCATGGTCCTGACGGGTTTCCTTCGCGCATTCTAAAAGAATGTGCCTTCCAACTAGCTCCATCACTTCATCATCTATTCACTAAGTCGCTCCGCTTATCGCAGGTTCCAGCCGAGTGGAAGTTAGCCGACATTGTTCCCCTACACAAGAAAGGACAAGAAGATCATGTGGAAAATTACCGCCCTATTTCATTGCTATCAATCATAAGCAAGGTCCTTGAAAGATGTGTCCTCAATCATGTATCCTACCATATTCAGTCCAACATTAATTCCGCGCAGTACGGTTTCGTTAACGGTAAATCAAGCACAGCTCAGTTATTATCAATATTAAATATTATTGGAAAGAACTTGGATAAAGGATTACAAACTGATGTTGTTTTTATGGATATTGCTAAGGCTTTCGATACCGTTGACCACTCCAAACTGTTGCAAAAGCTGCAGGAATTCGGTTTTTCTGGTTCTCTCCTCCTGTGGTTTAAGGATTATTTATCCGGACGCTTCCAATGAGTAACTGTTCACGGTGCTACGTCGACCACTTTATCTATTACTTCTGGGGTTCCACAAGGATCGTTATTGGGTCCCTTTCTCTTCTCTGTATATATCAATGACTTACCTAGCTATGTATCATCCTCTACTGGGGTCGGACTGTTTGCTGACGACACCAAGCTGTATCGTTGCATAAAGAATCCTTCTGATGCCTTGGTCTTGCAACAGGATATTCAAGGTCTTCGATGTTGGTCAAATGAAAACCACCTTCATTTCAATCAATCCAAGTGCAAGGTACTCTCTATAACCAGAAAAACATCACCTTTGGTTTCTCCATGCGACCTGTTGTCCTTTTCTGATGCTGAAGTTGACTTGGGTATAACTATCAGTCCCAAATTAACATGGATCCATCAAGTAAGCAAGGTGAAGTCCAAAGCTAACAAATTGCTTGGATTAATTAGGCGATCTACCTTGGAAATGACTGACATCAAGGCGAGAAAGTATGTGTACTTACAGCTCGTTCGAAGTAATCTTGCGTACGCATCCCAAGTATGGTGTCCACAGTCCATACAATTAATTGAAAATATCGAGAAGGTGCAGAGAAGAGCAACCAAATTTATCCTTAATCTTGGGTTTGTCACCAACATACCGTATCCAACAAGACTACATAACCTAGATCTACTACCCATAACTTATTGGCACGAATACCTGGATATATTCCTACTCTATAAAATCATTAACAATCATACATATATTGACGACAGTGCTCGACCGGTTATATCAGGATCAGGAATCACTAGAAGTGAAACTAATGACAATCGAATTAAATTCTTAATACCTTATGCCAAAACTGTAACGTTCCAGTCCTCGTATTTTATTAGAGCTTGTAAAACCTGGAACATCCTAAGTGATAACCTTCGAGACAGAAACATTGGTTTCTGTGCTTTTAAATCAGGACTGAAACTGTACTATAAGAACGCACTATCGATCACGTATAACTGTGACGATCCTCGGACTTGGAAATCTGTCTGCGTTAAATGTAAAAGGGCTAGATCCCTTGATGGTGTTTTAAACTGTTGTTAGTTGTCAGTTTAGCCGTTTTGTATTTGTGTTGTTATACTTTGTCTGTTTTGTTAATCAATTATTTGAACGTAATTTTTTATGTAAATATTAAGGGATCGCCGTAATTGGGGGAACCTGTGGCGAACTCCCTGGCACTACATTGTTGTATTTTTAGGTAGATGCCGAATCTTATCAAAACATTAAAACATTAAATGTCATGCTGGATTTAGATTCTATATGGGTTAGTATATTCACGTAATTAGCCTTTTCTCAGTGCATATTCTGGGGTCATTTGGAGGGACAAAATATATGGAGACAGGCATCAAATATGTGAAAGAGTAGAAGTATCTACTATAAAATATCAACTTTTTACATGACCAAAAATGAGATATCTCCCTTTTACATTAAACTTTAATTTAAATGTGTGCTGTCTTTTTTTTTGTCCCTCCAACAAGGGATTCTTGCGACTAGACCCAGGACTTTGGGAAATAGCTAATTAAATATACAAATTCTCTTCTATCATATTTATCTTTGTTAATTAATTTGTTATTAAAGTAAAATTGGGACAAAAATATTGTGTTTTATTTATATTAAAATGCTACATTTGCCCCCTTTAGGAAAGGAGACCTTGCCCCACCCCCTTTCCATCATTCCTGATACCATATAACTACATTCTAATTTAATTTCTAAAGTTGATTTCTTTCCATGTTTTATTGAATCATTGTAGAGAATTTTCATTTTCAGAGAATTTATTATCAATAAATTAATTAACAGTCAGTAACTGATTGAAAACATTTGTAAATATTCCTTATATTCGTAGAGAAACTATATTTAATCACAGTTAATATTAACTGTGATTTAATACATGACAACTGAAGCAATAGTTCGCGCATTGCCTGGAGGCCTTGTGCCTAGTTTCAGTGTCGGAGCGCAAAGTGTCATGGGATAGCGTCGTTTCGAATTTTTGTGCTAAAAATTTGAAAGCACATTTACATGTCTTACATGGTGAAGAAACTTATCGAAATTTCAAACCCAAATGATGGAAAAGGCATGGAAAAGTTCGTAAAATGTTATTCAGATCTCACAGGTAAGAATAGTTATATTTTGACTTGTTATTTAAGCGCTTTAATTGCGAAAGAATGTAGTGAAAATATGATTGTTACTTGAGCCATGTATCTGAAATTCTGTTAAATATAATTTTGAATTTGCCGCGTTCAATTTGCATAAGAAACATACGAAATGTTGGTTTCTGGCAAGGAAAGAAAGAATATAATATCAATTCGAATCTATTATAGTAAATTCTGTAGTAAATTGTGCACTAATGCACTATTAATATCAACAATTTAGCAATAATTGTCACATAATTATTTGGCACTTTTCTAGACCTTGTCAAGGGTGTATAAGTTAATAATAAAACGATATAAAATAATATATTAAACATACTTGTGCTTTTAACAATATGAAATAATATATTAAACATTTGAATGCTGTTAAAGATATGTTAGCATTTTACAGTAATACATGAATAAGGATTGTAATTACAGAAGAATTACAGCATTGAATGTGATCTATCAGTGTATTACTGTATTGATCCTTAACCCATTATGCTGCAACTATGTTGCTTAAGACAATTTTGCTCGTCAAAGGGAGAGTCTTGCAAGCTCTTTATTAATTAACGAGCTTCAGTTGTATAAAATGATTTGTTTGTAAAAGCTGGAAGATGTACGGGCACTGAGACAATGCCTCAAATGTTCGCTTTATATACTTTCAGATTAATATTGGAACTAGATTATAGCCCGGTGTGCTCCAAATATTGTTCTCAAGTCTCGACAATCAGATCTGGATTGAGTTGGCAAACTGGTGTTGTAAGGTAAGAATTAACAAGAATAAATAGTCTGCTTTTAGTGCTTTCTATGAAAGAAATGACAAACTGGCCCAGCTAAGGTGGCCACCTAGGCCAGATCAGTCTCAATCTTATAAACAGCCCCTACAAAAATTTACTAACTAGTAACAACATAATTACACATGAATCCTAAGTTTACCTCCAAATGCAGCCATTTTAAGGCCTGTTAACATTGACACTGTGCTCAATTTTGGTACACGTAACATGTTTACCATGCTTGGACTACCTATTCATACTGGCCGAGCACAGATAAAGTTGGTACAGGTACCAGTTTGATCTGTGCCATACCAAAAATTGAGCATAGTGTGTAGAGCTTGTAAGTAGTTTAGTGATTTAATAATCTAAATTATGCCAGAAGTATATTAGTATAAAGGGGCAGTGTGCAATAGCCAATTTTCTGTCATGAATGAGTCATTACAGTATGGTACATGTAGAGCTGTCCATAGGCCTGCAATAATGCAGGGACAGGGCTGTGGCTGGACCCATTGACCTGCAATTTGTCCTAATGTGCTCTGTCTTATGTTTGTGATGTTACTCTGAGTGCATATCCACACTGGGCGAGCTTGAAAAATATGCCCGGCCACGGTGGGATTCGAACCTACGACCTTTTACCTATTTTTCCATGCTAAGTCCAAAAAAGGGGCAGGGCTGTGGCTGGACCCATTGACCTGCAATTTGTCCTAATGTGCTCTGTCTTGTTAATTTTACCTATTTTTCCATGCTAAGTCCAAAAAAGGGGCAGGGCTGTGGCTGGACCCATTGACCTGCAATTTGTCCTAATGTGCTCTGTCTTATGTTTGTGATGTTACTCTGAGTGCATATCCACACCGGGCGAGCTTGAAAAATATGCCCGGCCACGGTGGGATTCGAACCTACGACCTTTGGAATACTAGCCCAATGCTCTTCCAACTGAGCTACGCGGTCAGAACGGTTCGAGTAAGTGATATTTCGGAACAGTATCTAGTTCCTTCAATACCAATGTGTTCTTGTAATATGAATTTTTTCTGTGCTGTTGTTGTGTACTCAGGTGAATAATATGTTTGTGATGTTACTCTGAGTGCATATCCACACCGGGCGAGCTTGAAAAATATGCCCGGCCACGGTGGGATTCGAACCTACGACCTTTTACCTATTTTTCCATGCTAAGTCCAAAAAAGGGGCAGGGCTGTGGCTGGACCCATTGACCTGCAATTTGTCCTAATGTGCTCTGTCTTGTTAATTTTACCTATTTTTCCATGCTAAGTCCAAAAAAGGGGCAGGGCTGTGGCTGGACCCATTGACCTGTAATTTGTCCTAATGTGCTCTGTCTTGTTAATTTTACCTATTTTTCCATACTAAGTCCAAAAAAAGAAATGCCTGGGTTTATATTTCTCATATGCAAAAAAATTTAGACAGGGTAGGTAGGTTTTTTTTCTTATTTTTTATTATAAATGTTCATGCATGAGAATGATATTCTACATCAATTACGGCAGCACAGATGACACAAATATTCATTAAATATTACATCAACTTTGATTTTGAAACAAACAGGTTATACTTTCTTTGTAGGTTTCCATGGCGATAAAACATATAATACTTTTGTTTGTGGAAACACAACTACATGGTGTTTCCATAAAGAAAAGTATTATATGGCTAGTACAAAACTAACGCCACAAACTGGGTATGAAAAATTGTTCCGAACTCTTTGCAAACTTCAGATAAAAAGATTAGGGTCAGTGATTTCTTTGACATAACTCATTAGTAAGCCCACTTTACAAAAATAGTATTAAATCAAATGTAACCTAGTAGAAGGTTAATTATAAGCCAATATATACCTTGTAACCCATTAGACATGGCTACCCTAAGGGCATCCCCTATTTGGCCTAACACTATCTAGATTATTCTTCCTGTCAATGCCAATTAAATCTAAAACATATTAAATAAATCTGATTTTATCAATTCCTATTTTTTCAGCTTTTGTTCTGGATGATACAGTCTATGGAAAGACAGCTGCTATGCAGTACACGGTACAGGACAAATGCTGTGGGGCTTGAACTAAAAGCAAACCAGCTGAGTG